AATGGGAAAGACGATTTCCATTTTTATAAACTAAGAACTGTTTTCAACAATTTTTCACTTTAATGCATACTTTTACATAAAACATGGATTCATTAGTTATGCTTCATGAATATTCTTAAATAATTATTACTTTGTCTATTTGTCACCTTTGTTTTACCCTTTGCATATGCAATGAAAACAACCAGGTTTAAACATTAATATATGTTAGTGTGATTTCTTTTTTTTTTTTAAGATTTTATTTATTTATTTGACAGAGAGACAGAGAGAGCACAAGCAAGGGGGAGCGGCAGAGGGAGGAGCAGACTCACCACTGAGCAGTGAGCCCAATGTGGGGCTCGATTCCAGGACCCTGGGATCATGACCTGAGCCGAAGGCAGATGCTTAATCAACTGAGCCACCCAGGCGCCCCTGTTAGTGTGATTTCTATGTTAAGATTACAAAAGTCATATGTACAGAAATATATTTGTATTTTAGCTGACATTTTATTTCTTTAAGGGCAAAATAACATAGGAAGGTGTTTTAGATTCTTAAATATTGAAGCATGAAACACTGATCCAAATAGGACCACCATTTACAGATCTTTACAGGTCAAATATACCAATGTTTACATAAAGTATTTAATTTACCAAAAACTTCAAAGGTAATTATAGTGAAAGAAGGTAAAATGTATGAAATAAGCTATTCCAAAGACAATACATATATAGTTGTAGTTCTTGGAATTAGATAGAGGGATAAACCAATAATATACTTGGATTTTTGTTTTGTCTTAAAAATTATTTACATCTGGTCCTATCTCAACCTTTAGAAAATTCTCATTTTCTATTGATATATACAGCTGTAGCAACTACTCAATTGTCTCTATCAGAAACAACAAGTTTTAAGTATTCATTTCATATTTTCTTGGTAACCACTGCTTTTATTACTCAATTGTAATGAATAGGCACTTGGGACCTTAATATTGAAATTTCACTATCCTCATATATATGTGTTAAATTGGTGTAAATGAATTCAGTGATTCTGTGATGAGTCTTTTGCTTATGTAAAAATGTCCTTTGATTCGTATCAATAATAAAATCATTAAGGAATTTGGGATTCAAATCCCTTACCAGAAATGTGTACATTTCAGGACATTTGCACATATGTAGGCTAAATATAATATCAATAGAAATATAATAGAAATAGAAATATAATATAAATAATATAAATATGAGCTTGGCTCATATTTAAATACAGTTTTTATTTTGTGAATCTTCAGAATATAAAAATAATTGTTTCCATTCCCACTTAAATTAAGTTCTACTCTTTCCCTTTTTTGACAGGTTTTTTACAAAGATATTCTAAAATGTAAGTGCATCTAGATTGGTAAAGCTTGTAGAGAAGATAGTAGTTGCTTTTCAGGCACAGTTGTCTCATTCTATTATATTTGTTTGCAAAATATTTGTTCTAAAGATTTTTATTGAGAGAGTGAGAGAGAGCATGAGAGGGGGGAGGGTCAGAGGGAGAAGCAGACTCCCCGCTGAGGAGGGAGCCCGATGAGGGACTCTATCCCGGGACTCCAGGATCATGACCTGAGCCGAAGGCAGTCGCTCAACCAACTGAGCCACTCAGATGCCCTGCAAAATATTTTAATGAATGATATCTGATATATGCATATGCTCAATGTACCTCCTTACCTTGAATCCAGGGCTAAATTAGAGTTCTGGTTCTTCTTTTGGATTGTATTGGAGTTGAAGTTGGGATTATATTGCTTTTGCTTTCTCTCTGATCTTGCATTACTTCTTCCCATGAGAACTCTAAAATTATCTCTCAAAGGGACAATGAGGAGCAATGGGAAAAACATCTTATCCTTTATGACAATAACCTCTCAGTCTGTGGTTTTCGAACTGTGGGTTACAGCCTGTTAATCAGTCCTGAAATCAATTTAGTGGGTGATGTCCAGCATCTGTATTAATAAAATTGTGTAAGAAAAAATATCAGAATGCCTCAGAAGTAATAGAGCTAAATATTTTTCTGTTAAACTTTTGTTTCACCGTATGTGTGGACGGGGGATGGGGGTGCATGTGTGTGTGCACTACACCGTATAAAAACTGTGGATTAATTTAGGTGTTGTGATCAGAAAACTGTAGTCTAATCACAAAGTTATAGTGAATATATTACTCTGGCCACAAGAAACACATTCATAAAAACATACTGGAATTTTCTTACAATTTGTTCAAAGTAGGCACCAACACACCATAAATAAAAATTAGGATACCCAGTCACTCCATCCTCACTGTCAGACTGTTTATGGATGACTGTGTGAAATTCCTGGCCCAATGAGGACACCATGACTATGGAAACTACATAGCGTACTGAGCTAGCAAACTCTGTAGGAGAGAGGAGAGTGCAGGTGTGATCCAGCCACGGAATTCCTCATCTCGGGAACCCTCTAAGCACCTCTTAGTGCAGACTTCTAACATCACGTGTTCACCAAGTGTTGTTTTGTTGTTGTTTTTTTTCCTCCTGAGCTGAATCAGGCTTGTTCCATGAGTAAGAAGGCATATGGGAAAATTACATACTTTTTAAAAACAAATCCCCACTCTTGTAAAACTTTGTCATTGTTTACTTGCTCTGTGTCTCCTAACAGTTGTCCCTCATATCATATATTCATTTCTAAGAAGCCTTTTTGAACAAATTAGAAAACAGGGTGTGGCACTCATCACACTTTTGTCTGAAAAACAGAAATCACTGTGTTCATTCCATACAACTTTTGCCTAGAATGCATATTTTATATATATATATATGTATATATATATATCCACCTTCCTTTTGTCATTAATACTCTTTCTCATCATTTTCTAACTTCCATTAACTGCTGCAGAGGACAGGGATCATCTTTTAATTCATTTTTTTTAAAGATTTTATTTATTTATTTGACAGAGACACAGCGAGAAAGGGAACACAAGCAGGGGGAGTGGGAGAGGGAGAAGCAGGCTCCCCGCTGACCAGGGAGCCCGATGCGGGACTCGATCCCAGGACCCTGCTACCACGACCTGAGCCGAAGGAAGATGCTTAACCGACTGAGCCACCCAGGCGTCCCCATCTTTTAACTCACTTCTTAAAGCATTTTGGACAGTTAAAAATGCTTGTAATGAAATTCTAGTAGGAAGAGAAAAATGACACCATTCTATCTCAAAATCATATATTTCATTTCCCCCAAATTATGTTTTTTCGTATTTTTTCTAAGTAGGATTTTATATACCTATATGTTCCTAAATGAGTTTTCTTTCAGACACTTGCACAAATGTGACCTGTAAAAGTGAATACATTGTCCTTTTGCCTTTTTGCTGCCTCCCTCCAAAATCCCTGTTATGCTCCCCTCTTTGGAAGGCCAAAATAGCAATGCCCTTGAGTGTTTCTCCCCTGGGAGTTTTTTGCATTTCTTTCTGTGGAAGTCTAGAGAGACAAATGTCCCCTTAATGACTTGGCTGCCTGTGCAGTCTCTGTCACTGGCGTCCATGGCCTTCTCTTATACAAAAACAGATCCCATTACACTGCCCATCTTGAGAAGTGCCCCTTCTGCTGGGGTTTGGAATGCTCCTGGGGACAGTGCAGAGGCCAGTGACCTGCATCCTTAGTCAGAGGCATGTTTGACATTCATCCCAGGCTATATTTTCACTTGGGGATGGACTTTAGGTATTCTGTGAAACATCTTCCTACCTATCCTCTATCCACACTAGACTCTCCCTTCCTGTCCCTACCTCTGTACCCCATCTTCTGTCTCCTGGCCTCCCTTGTACGTCTGCCCCCCAAATCCCTGAGGCTCTCTGTCGGCAGCTGGCATGGCACCAGACATTTCTAATCTACTTTCTCTCTTAATACCCTGCCTATTCTGCTTTATGGTCTAGACCTGAAAAATAGATCTGGGACAATCTGGTAACATATAGTGGGGTGTCCTTTTCAGGTATATTATTTTCATTTTTACAGATATCCTTCTGGAGATGGAACATTGGTGGAATTTTGAGTAATCTGGTGGTACATGATAGAGGTTTTAATCAAAAGCTGCCTTCTGTCTTTCATTTTTTCTTCATTTAATGGTTCCCACAAATATTTTTTCTGTGATTCTCAATTAATCCCATGTGAATGTCTACCTTTTCATCCTTTGCTTAAAACCAGGGTTCCTGTATATTTGTAAACTAATAGAATTATTCTCCTATTACATTTGGAGCAAGCAGGAAAAACTTGCCAATTTAGATGACCAAGTAGTTGAGATTAAAAATTTTTAAAAAGTAAACAACCAGTTTGACTTGGTTCTTGTGATGTATCATGATAGACAACATTTATGCAGTGCTTACTATAAGCCAGATACTTTATTAATATCATTTTATTTAGCACTTAGAGCAACCATGAGAGGTATGTCATATTACTATATCCATAGTACGGATGAGTAGACCAAGACCATAGAGCTTATCAATAGATTGATACAGTTAAGAGTGGTAAAGTCAAGTTTTGACATAGATGATCTGTCAAACTATTGTGTTCCTTAAAAGCAATCAAGTCAGTTAAAGGTGAGAGCATGCAACATTTTTTTTTTTTTTTTAGTTTGCAGATGCACACCAGCTTTGAAAATGAGCACTCACCAAATCATGAATCTGACTTTATTCCAAAGGGTAGTATATGACTTCAACTTCTCCTTTCTCTTTCTTTCCTGATTGAACTGTTGGAGAGTGATATAGAATGCTGATTTCTCTTTCTTTCCTTCCTTTTTTTTTTTTTTTAATCTTCCTTTTTTTCTTTTCTTTACTAAACTGTTGAAGGCTGATAAACACTCTTGGTTGGCCACCCACTTTGGTTTTTGCTCCCCTGGGAAGGATAAGTAAGGCACCTGAGGACCTGAAAGAAGAATCGGAGCTGTCTGCCCTCAAGGAGTGTACCCTTAGTCAGATGAAAGGGAGCAAGTGTGCTTTTTGGAGCATGTTGCACTCCATAAAGACCCGTGTGTTCTCTTGTCTCTGCGACAGGTACCATTTCTGTCAACACCCTGCGCACACCCTACACGGCGCCTGGCGAGAGCGAGATTCTGGACCTGGATGATGAGCTGTACCTGGGGGGCTTGCCGGAGAACAAGGCTGGCCTCATTTTCCCCACCGAGGTGTGGACTGCCCTGCTCAACTACGGCTACGTGGGCTGCATTAGAGATTTGTTCATCGACGGCCAGAGCAAAGATATCCGGCAAATGGCTGAAATTCAAAGTACTGCTGGAGTGAAGCCCTCCTGCTCAAGGGAAACAGCAAAACCGTGCCTTAGCAACCCTTGCAAAAACAATGGCATGTGCAGGGATGGGTGGAACAGATATGTCTGTGATTGTTCCGGAACAGGCTACCTTGGCAGGTCCTGTGAGAGAGGTAGGATTCCAAAACCCAAGCAGCTGACTCCCCTGAGACGAAAACGTGTATTAAATGTTGACCTCAGACCTTGAACTGACCCTGGGAGCATAATGCGTGCTCTGCTGAGGTAAACGCCTGCGGGACTAACAGCCACGCCAGGCACACTACTGATGAGCCCTCCATGATTTTCAGAGGGGCTGATTCTGGGAAGACACAGAGTTTGAAGTATATTGCAGGAAGAAATATTTGAGTCTCCCATATCTTCTAGAGTATGGGCCTAAGACGTATGAGCGATAGCAACCGCTGTCTCTTTTGCCCAGTTTTTAATTTCAGGACCCTAGAAAGTAAAGAAGGTATGAATTAGAGATATTTATGGCATCCAGTGCTAATATCCATGGCCGGAAAAAGAGCATGTGAGGCAACTTCCCTAACACTATGGCGTGAGACTTAAGTTAGCCTGTTCACTTCACTTCGGTCCCCTTCCCCAAGTTTGAAATTTAGAAAGTAAGATGACTTTCAGGCATCTGATTTACACCGGCAGTTTCAGAAGTGCACCCTAATTTCAAAGACACTTACCTTTGCCTAGGATCTGAGTGATCACAGAGGATGTATATCCCTCTATTGTATTAAGGCTCGGTGTGTCTGCTGAGCCTCTGAGTAGCTGCCTCCCTTTCTTCTCTAGTAGGAAGCACAGCCACATTTCTTTTTTCTTTTCCTCTCCCATTAGAAGGAGAAGAATAAGGATTAGAGGAAGAATGAAGAGTGAAGACAAACCACCGTTTGTCTGCAGACTAAAGGGGGAAGAGCAGAGAAACAAAGTCCTCCCGTCGACCTAAGATGTCAGATAAATGCTTTAGTCACCATACCCATTGCCACTCATTTTCAACAATGGAACCAAAACATCAGTATGGAAAACTATCGATGAGTTGTTCCATTATCCTCTTATGCTTCAAATAACCTTGGTGCGTTAGACATTTAGCCTGAAAGCACCTGGCACCTATTGTTTATAAACCATGTACATTTAGTCTTCTTCCCCCCTTTCCATCCTGAAATAGCTTAATTTGTTTAAGCTCACACTACCTAGAGAACAAAAACAGTGATTTTCTAGAATCCAAAGTTGAGATGTGACTTCGGTTATTTGTCTTAATAAAGAGGTCCGGCTTATCAGTTCTATTATTAACATTAATCAACATAAAAATAATAATAATAGTTTAATAATCTAATAGTGATCTTAAATTACCAACCAAAACCCTGCCACTGTTCTGCACTATACAGCTGGCTAAGTCAATAGATGGGTAAGTATTTTAATCACCTAGATTCATTCATTCTCCTAGTACCGAACTGCAATTCCTATCAATTATCATTAGAGGCTAGCTGTTTCTGTGTAGTTTCACTTGTAAGGTGTATATGCTCTGTGAATTCCCTCTTCTCATTTCCCCCTCTAATTTCAGTTCATTTGTTTCAATAGTTTGGTCTTTAGAAACTGGCAAAAGGGGCCAACAACAACCACCAAAAAGGCAACCAAGTTTGTAAGGTATATTACAAGTTAGACAAAATGGGAGATTCGCAGACCTGTAGGATTTAAGCTGCTGTTTTCTCTTTAATCACTCAGAGAGCTGCTGGTTAGTCGGATGCCTCCTGCTTATGTGAAGCTACAAAAGGATGTAACCCAACTGTCTCAGATTACAAAAGCCTTCGGTTAAATATGCGTGGTGTACCACCCTGTGGCAAGATCCTGTTACTACATATGGCAGAAATAAAAATAGAAATAGTCAAGCTTCCTGAGCCAGAATGAGGGAAAGGGAAAATTTATATTTTGCAATAATTAGAAGGAGGGGTGGCAAGCATATGTAGATTTACAAATGAGAATTTAATAGCAAGCTTCATCACTGGGATTCGGCATACATTTTCCTCTGACAGGTGGCTAGAAATTTCTGCAGATTTCTTTGTCTCCAGGTTGGTTGTGTGTTGAGGAAAAAAAATGGTCATTTTTGTGTGATTTTTGTTTCCGGACTACCGAGCATATTGTTAGAAGTCTTTGTTTTTCAGAATTAATTTTCTTGCTCACATTATGGTATCTCCTGAGAACAGTGGTGATGTGGGATGCTTGTCATGCTCAATACCACAGAATTTGGCTTCTGTCCAGTTTCCAGCTATGCCCTAGTTCAGTCAACATAAGATCTGCCCAACCCTTGGGGTTTCCAATTCAAAAGAAAGAGCTTTGACTGTCGTTCTTCTCCAGATACACTCTGATCACATAAGACTGTTAATCACCTAAGAGTTGGTTGACAACTTCTGAAATTAAAAAAAATGAATGTACTAATAGTCTCTATCTTACTATTACTGAGCAATAATTGGTAATTTATAAAGATTATTATTCATAGTAATTAAAAAGTGTGTTCAAGTCCTTGGATAATGCAGCCTGAGGAATAATATCGCAGTCACATTACTATAGAAAATTTTTACTCTGCATTAAGTAAGCAAAGGAATTTAGAAGAGAGAACAGAGTATTTGCTGACTTAGGCGACTAGGAAAATAGTATTTTATGTGTATCGATCCCATAAGGAAGAGTAATATAGAAATAATGTGCAATTGAATATAAATTAAATTCAGCATTTTCCTTCCCACTTTATTTTTAATAAAGCTGAGAATTTGTGGAGACTTACTTGGCCTTGTAGAAATTATTCTTGGTCATGTGTATATGTTGTAATCAGAGGTCTGCTTTATACTTGTTTGTTAAAACTCTAACAGATGGAGGGACAGATGTCAGAGCAATATAATTTGGCTCCCTGTCTGATTTTCATCGTTGCGCACAATATGACTGCCTTTCGGCAAAAGTGAGCACAGGTGTACCCTTTAGACGGCAAGAAGGAATAATACAGAAAAGCAAATTTATCGAACTTAATGACAAGGGGGAAGGAGATGCAGGAGACAAAGCTGAAACTTTTTTCTCCCCCTCTGGGAAGTATTGTATTGGAACTAGCCTTTTAAAGTACTCTTTTGTGTTCTAAGTGGTAAAATAATTTTACTAATGTGAAAGGATGCTGCCAAATAGCATAACCTTCAAATGTCAGAGTGTTGTTTACCATTTATTTGGCAACTCTAGACTCCAACCCTGTACATTTTCCATTTCTTGTCTAATTAAACATTAACTCTAATTATGAGGAGTCATTTAGGTGTTCATTTGTCATTTATCAACAAGTTATTTTCACATTGAGAATTATTTAAAATGTACTCAAGTTTTATTACTTTACTATGTTATTTCATTCCTGCAGTTTTTTGGAGAATGTTACAGGCTAATGATTCTGATTATTTTTCTACTTTGTATTGTATTTCATACTATGTTTATGATCCATTGTCAGTCATCTCTGTTTCTGAAAGGATATTCCCCCTCCTTAGTTTTTAATCAAATTAAGCTGCATTTTATAGAAGATTGTAAAATCATTTTTACAATGTGATTATTGAATAATAGACACTAGATTTATAGACTAAATAAATAAAAGAAACAACTAACAACATTTCAGTTCTTTTATCAATATGATACCAAAGAACTGAGCAACTGATAATGACTTTTAAATGTTTATTCAGGTGTTTGTTGCTTTATAGATATGGACCATGATTAGCTACAGTTTAGGCAAAGAAATACTAAGGATCGAGTCTCCTTCAAGATTATACAAGAAACACGTTTTTTCTAGAGTTCACCATAGCTTTACAATCATGTTTTAATTATTTTTTTAATTAATTTATTTATTTGAGAGAGAGCGAGCATGGGTGCAGGGTGCAGGAGGAGCAGAGGGAGAAGGAAAGAAAGAGAATGTCAAGCAGACTCCCTGCTGATCATGGAGCCCGACATGGGGCTCAATCTCACAACCTTGAGATCATGACCTGAGCCGAAATCAAGAGTCAAGCACTTATCTGACTGAGCAACCCAGGGGGCCCTTAATTATTTTTTGAGTAAACTACTACTAGCTTTTCTTTTAGGAAACTTACCTAATAAAAATATGTGGTACAGTATAGAACCACTATATTTTAAAAGGATCATATTTTATTTTCTCAAAGTCAGGTCAGTGCCTAGCCACAGGACTGGTATTTTGATAAATGGACATGTTTCCTAGTCTGTCTGTGGCACATTGTGTCCTTCAAAGTAGACTTCAGCAAATATTTTGTTCACCTACTTTACCAAAATTGGATTCCACTTAACAATAGGCAGAGTAAATACTTAACTTCTTTAGTGAGCATTTATGTAAGCTTGATATCCAAACTGAAATAAGCTTTTCATATATCTTCAGTATCAGATACAATCATCAATTCAGTTAAGTATGTACTGAGACTCTTCTACGTGCCTGGCCCTTTATAGGGCACGCAGCTGCTGCTAGAACAATGCATAGGAGAGCCTAACCCCTGCCCTCAAGACACTTATATTCTAAAGGGTGAAGCAGAAAACAATATGCAAACAAATAAAATGTAATTGTGAAAAAAAAATGAGTAAGTAGATATGGAATAACTGGAAGATGGATCAATGGGGTGCTTGGAGCAGACATCCTGAAGTCACATTTGACCGGAGACCTGAATGCCAAAGGAACCAGCCATGTAGAGGTTTAGAGTTAAGCCTGTTAAGACAGAGGGGTCCACAAGGGCAAGTACTTGAATGAGAGGTGAAATCAGTGTGGCTGGAGTTAACTAAACAAGTAGTGGAGATGCTGAAAGCTGAGGCCATTGAGAAGGGCTGGCGCCAGAGCCCAGAGAACCTTATAGGTAAAAAAGGAGTACAGCTTTTATTCTAACTGCAGTGGAAAACTATTGGTGGGAGGTGGGGAGACATAATTTAAGCAATGTAGGGATATAATCTGCTTTACTTCTTTAAAAGTTTAGCTTGGCTGCTGTGTATAGGAAGAAAGAGTAGAAATGGGGAAACTGCTGAGGGAGCTATGATGGTAGTCTAGGTGGGAGATTAAAGCAGAGTCAGAGATACTTTAGTGATCAGTGTAAGATGTGATCAATTCAGGAAATGGATTGGAATTAGAGCCTACAAGACTTGTAGACTTGCACGTAGATTGGGCATTGTGGAGAGTTTAAGAGAAAAATCAGAAAAGCTAAGTTCTGAACAAAGGGATTATGCCATTTACTAACATAGAGAACATCAGTGAAGGAGCATGCTGAGTTGGTTCATTTGGAGGGGGCCTATAGTATTCAAATCAGAAATGTTAATTGGGCAATGGATGAAGGAGCTCAGGAGGGAAGTCAGGCTGTTAATAAATATTAGGGGGATTTGACCAAGATCCCTTAAGTCAAGGGGTAGATGAAAGAGAAGAGCCCCATGAAGGGAGACCTGGAAGGAACCTTCCATTCTTTATCGTTCCGGATGTGCATTCAGTCCCATGATGACAACAACTAATGATTAAAGTCTGTCAGAAGCAATATTAGACTTTCCTGGCTTTGAAAGACAAACTTGCAAAACCACAACTCCAGAATATAGTCCTAATAATAAGCAACTGTATCACAGTTGCAATTAGTAAAGCTAATTGTTGTGCCATGTAAGTGGGCAAGATAATGAGAATTTCCCAATTTAATTCCAGGTAGTTTTTCTTTTATTAAATGGTATTCTGAGTTGTTAGAACCAATGAGAGAGCAGAATTACTCATACTTGTTTTGCAACGTTCCACCACCATATGGTGTTTAACATTAAAGGGTTCTATTTCTTACAGCAGGCAGTCTGTGATCAACAGTTTCTGCTGTCCTCTTCTTTGTGTGTTTAATACAGTATTAAGCAACTTCTCTCTTAAAGCAGTCCATTTTGGTTTAGTACCACACAGCCAGCCACACAAGCTCTGCAGACCCACACCCATGTTTATCCAATATTACCAAGGTGTATAGTTATTGACTTTTTGGTGATAGCTTCACATTTTCAGAACACCAGGGTAGTGCTTAGAGGAGATGATTTCAGTTATTCCTCACCTGTAAAT